TCACATAGAACAACAAAGCGAAGTTGCAAGAGGAAGCCAGGGCTGGCAAACAGAAGGAATTGGATGAACCCTGCCAGGCCTTCCAGAAATCCCTCTTGCTGCCGGAGTTCACCCTGACCCTGCAGGTCCTGCACAGGTGAATGGCGGTGCCCACAAGGCCAGCCACTGCAAACAGCAGGGAGCAGCGGCTTCTCTGAGGCCATCGGGTTCCAGCCACTCCCTGCCAGCAGCAAACTACTTAAACAGCTTTCAAGATCCAAGCGTGGCTCTGTTCCTAGAAACTCGTCTGGCTTGATACAGTATTTTAAGCCAAAGACATCTCAACTCTACCAAGTGGAACTAAATCATCTGCACGTCACCACCATGACGATCCTTTAGCCACGTCTCATTCCTATTATTACCCTTGTTAGCACACAGTGAGCTCTAACACAAGTCTCATAACTCACACATCTGAAATGGCAGAATTCCCACTGTTCAAGCGATGCAGGTGAATCAGCGCGCTGCCCTGCAGGCAAGCGTGTTCACCTGAAAGGGGAGCACTGAAACTAGGGCTGGTTTTCAACAAAAAGCAATCAAAAATGTCATTGGGTGGCAATATTCGGTCAAGTCTGCATTTTAGAAAAATTCCCACTAAAATTTCGCTCCAAAATAACAAGATTAAAATTTTGAAAAAAGAAAACAATCATTTCCATGAAAAGTTTGCATTTCTTTTAATACGAGGGAAGGGGGCAAATCCTCAGTATCTTTTAGGGGCAAATCACACCTGATTTTCAATGCACCAGGCTCTGATTCGCCAAAACCTCTTTCATCTACCTTTTTTTTTTTTTTTTTTAAGAAAGTTAACTTGTCTGTCAGGAGAAAGTGCTCAAACTTTACATTATTGTGCTTTTAAATCGCTATGTTTCCAAGGAAGAAAAAAGCCGAGTCCCCAGAGACTACATTTTCAGCTATTTGAAGTTTTTCACACTGGAGATGGAATCACATCTCTGCCTTGACTCCGAAGCCCTCTCCCACTCAGGAAGCAGGCCGAGGCAGTCCTGCTGGCGGCTGCTCTTGCTGGGTACCCCGCAAGGTCAGCCCAGGCCAGGAAAGCCGAAGATCCCTGCAGGACTCTGCATCTGAAGAGAGCAGAGCTCTTGGCACATGTACTGCTCCTATGCCCGCCTGCCTGGCTCAAACAGAAACCATGGCTGGGACTGCAGTATAAAACACTGGCTACCACAAAAGCCTGGCTTTCTTTATCAGAGAGAACTCAAGGCAAGAGGGTCTGCAGCTGAGCAGGATTTTCTGCAATTGTTGAATCGAAAAAACTGCATTTTACAATGTATTTTGGATGCACAAGAGTACCCAGGTACCCTCCTAAAGATGATCCTCTACAAGATAGAGATATTCCTGGAGAGGATTTTATTTCTTCTTCAGCCTTATACAGGTTAACCCTGCAGTTATCTCCCTCCTCTCAAAATATGCAGCTATTCTTCACTAAGACAGACTCCCACTGACTTACCCGTTTCAATGAATCAATAGGTTTTCTTCCTTCAGGAGGTTCTTTTCATACAGCCAATAAAATATCAAACACTTTAGGTTATGAGTTTTTCACCACAATTTAAAAAAAACAAAAACATGTTTGCTGAAATAAAGAGTTCAAATTAAAGAGTTTCAATCATCAGAATGATTAAAACATTGATTCTCCAACTTCAAACTTCCTTAGGGGTTTTATGGTCATGTCACTGTGATGCTTTCCCTCTGTCACAAATGGATCTTTCCTCTTGAATCCCAACCTTAAAGTTATTATGTGCTATTCATTCTCCAACACAAACTAGAGGTTTTTAATTAAATACTCTAAATTCGTAAGGTTTATAGTCCCTTTAATCAGCTTTTTTAATAAAGACAAAAGTTTGTGTTGGAGCAGTAGCAGATAAAAACAGGGGTTAGAAATGCAGCTGCACCAATCTGAAAGAGGGAGAAATAAAAATATGTTTATTTTTAAAAAATAATCATAATTACACTTAACTCTGCATCAAGACAGGGCTGTAAATTATGGTTTAGCTGCACTTATTGATCCAACATAAACATTAGGAGCAAGCTGCACTATGCAGGGGAGGGGAAAAAAGAAATGACTGTGGCATGTTTTAGATCCCTTGAGTCATCTTTGCTGGCACATAGTAGAATGAGTCAAAGCTGCTGCGTACGTAACAAGGAGATGGACGTGGGCTGAGCTGGCTCAGAGTTGGCTGTGTCTTGTCAATAACAGTTTGAAAAGGGATGCATCAAAGCTAATATATCGTAACTCTTTTGGGCCATAGAATCATAGAATAGAATGGTTAGGGTTGGAAAGAACCTTAAGATCATCTAGTTCCAACACCCCTGCAGGGACTCACTGCACTAAACCATGTCACCCAAGGCTCTGTCCAACCTGGCCTTGAACGCCTCCAGGGTTGGAGCATTCACAACTTCCTTGGGCAACCTATTCCAGTGCCTCACCACCCTCACTGTGAAGAACTTCTTCCTTAGATCTAACCTGAACTTCCCCTGTTTAAGTTTGAACCCATTACCCCTTGTCCTACCACTAGAGTCCCTAATGAAGAGCCCCTCCCCAGGAGAAGTTATGGTGTCCACAGAAATACGCTTTCAGCCATTGCTTGCTGAGGTACCAAGCTCTTTTCTGCCTAAACGCATGGTACAAAGTGCCAAAGTTGCACAGCTCTGAAACTTTCTTTTAGGCAACTTCACAATGACAAACATGACTTTAATTGAAAGCATGGTGTATGCCTAATGTTCAAAATTTGAGATACAGAGGTACAGCTTTGCAAGCCTTCATGATACCCACAAGATAAAACCAGAACCCACAACAGGCCTGAGCATCACTACATCAGAAACAAACATTAGTAGAGCAAGGAGGTAGATATGAACCTACCTGAATCTTCACTGACTCGAGTTGAGCTGTAAGAATAGCTAACATCAACTGTGAATCAAAGCTGCTCATCTAAAGGAACTACCAAAAGCATGCTAGCATGCTAAGTACACACAGAAATGTCCATTTCTAGGTATAGGAAAAAGGAACTTCACACACTTGCAACAATCCTTGAGTCCCCAAAAGAAAAAATGAACAATGACTTCTAAAACTTCCTTTAGCACATCTTTGGAAGAATCTTTATTGTTACAAAACAGGCATTTTGCCTTTGTGCAATAAGGCAAGGCACCAAATCCCAAAAGCTGGCTCAGAGAGAGCTGTTGAAACAATGCAGTCCAACAAGGGGCTCCCTCAGTCCCAAGAGCAATACAGTGACAGCAGCACATGATGGTCTTCCAGCTAACACACCCACATGCAGCCCTACACACATGAGCTTTTTACTGCTTTCCATTAAAAACTTAGTATCAGGCTCTATACTACACCTCAGTTTATTAATAGTAAAAAAATCACCAGTAGCTATGACCCTTTTCTCCTTCTAAATCTATCAGGATGAAGAGAGGGGCAATGAAAATGTAAGAACCAGGAGGAATCCCTCCATCATGAAAGAAACTTTCCTGTTCCTTTTCCATATCTCTTATTCTGCCTCCCTTTTGGAGCTGAGAAAGCAACTTAGCCCAATAAGTTTTAAAGACTGAAGGAAAGTGAAACATACACAGAGCACTAATTACCCCAGAGCAGACCACTGACTCCACAGGTATATGCAAATCTTGCCACAATGTCTATTTTAGGACATACAGGGGCAAGGCACTGCAGTCAAGATAAATCATAGTACGCAGGCTTTATTTGTACTGAAGTCTTCCAGCAAAGAGAAATCCCTGCAAACATTGACTGTAATACATTTAAAGCCACGGCATAATGCATTATTTCTATTTAATTGTGTGGCATTGTTTTATATGTAGCTACTTAGACAGAAGGCAATAAAAGCCATATTCAAGAGACACTTAAAAAAATACAGGTAAATTCTCTTCTTTCTACTTTGTTCTTAAATCTAGAAATGATATTCTATATCCTGCATTTTAAAATTTAGGTGAGACTGTGCCTCCACTTGGAGGGGAGACATTGCACATAATGTGGTAAAGAGCACACAGCCTGTTGGTACAGGAGACTATGGGTAACAAAGTCATCATTGTTATCTTCTACTAGTGATTCACACCAAGTGATAGAATGGCCTCAGAATAATAAAGATAGCTATGCAAATGTATTTCTTTATGCATAAATCCTTTTTGTCTTTGGAGTTTTGTGGAAAACAACTTCCAAAAAAAGTGAATTTAAAAAATAAGACATGAACTAAATTCCTCTGAATCCAGAGACGTATTTGGAGATTATTTAACTCATAAATAATCATGAATCTCAGCTGAGTTGGGCCCAGCTCTTGTTTACAGAAAGAAAACAAAATAAATAGCTATTAACAAAACATGTTTCTGGAGAAAGATTATGACTCCCAACTGAGATTTTATCCTCCAAGGGTTAGGACTCCAGAGGGGTGGCAGACCACTACTAGTGCTGCTGCTGCTATGTGTTCCAGGACAATCAGTTCAACATGCAGCAGGGGAAGTCCATAGCACAGCTATCCCTCCCATAGTCACCATCCCAACTGTCAAACATACATCAGAAAATACAAATTAGACAGCCAGACAGTCCTGAAATGAATGCATAAGGACCATGAGTCACATGCTACACTGGTTTAAAGAGAAAAACCAAGTAATTCCATTTACTGAAATGGAGCCATACTGAGCCTTTGTCATTAAAAGTAAATACATTAAAAAAAAAAGAAGATAGTTAACATGTTGTGGCTGAAGCACTGTTGCAACACTACACAGAGCCAATGGTACACCAGTCAAAGTAGAACTTACACGCTTTCGCTCCTGTAAAATACTAGAAATATTGATGTGAGATTATCTACTTGTCTGCCTGTGAATAAATGCAGCAGATGAACAGAGCAAAATGAGGAAGACACAGTCAAGCATGATGGCTTCCACTGTGTAAAAATCACATTTGCCTTTCCAAAACACAATCTGTATAACAATACAAAAAAACCACGTTGTCTTCCCTTACCTTCTGCAAAAGGTTCCCATTCATAAAATCGACCCATAAATGGCTTGTTATTGTATGATGCACACTGCACCTCTCTAATAGTTCTGCTGCTTTCAGGACACATCTGTTTAGATAAAAAAACCAGTCACATTACAATCAACAACAATGTTATCACTGCTTTCTTACTTATTTAATCTAGAAAGTTAATGAAGGCATTGCCAAATTCTAATCCAGATTAGACTAGGACAGGTAACAAACAGTGTGCTTTTAAGTAACAGTATCAAAAGTAGTAAAAAACCCCAAGAATTTGCGGAGTTCAAGGAGCAAGAGTTGTACCAAAAACATGACAAATTTTTATTTAGCTGTCATTTTCCTCAGCAAAAAGATGACATTTCAAGATAAATTCAATAAATTAGATCCAAATAATTTCCTTTCCACAACAGTTTCACATTTTTCATTATTAATTTTCTGGGCTCAGATTCAACAGAGTTGAACCACTTAACATACATGCTTCCATAACTTATTAAAAGCTGGCCACACCAGCTTCTCATCCTAAGCTTCAATACCATATTACCACCTTTTCTTTTCTATTTCTACATGTTGTTAGTAAAGCCATGTCCTGGGTTCAGCTGTAACATTACTTTGTATTTTAACTTGCGCCTCCAAATGCTAACTTAAAGAGTTCTTGAAGCTAAATAGTGGAAACAGCTTCCTACATACAGGCATGTGCGCACACACACACGTACTGAGGCAGGGTAAGTTTTACAGATAGAAGTAACATCATTTATTAAGTCATTTGCAACGCAAGCCTTTGGCAGACAAGCTTTATTTAGATGTGAAGCAGACTCCAAAAGTAAATACAAGTTAAATACTTAATTACTTTGTTCTGCCTGTATCCTCACACTAAAGCAGTTACAGCAAAAGACTACGCTGTGTGTGGGCACACACGAAGGGGAGAAAGATTTCTAGAAAAGGTGGGGGTTAATTAGGACAATTTCTATGCTTGGACAAGCTTTGGTCGCCAACGGATTTTTTTTCAGGTAGCCTTTAGATTATCAAAATGGCTATTAAAAACACTATACAAGAACAATACAAACCACCTGAGGAACTGGACTAGAACAGCAGAATATCTTTTCTGTAGGAGACAGATTTCAAGGCAAATTTAGAGACAACGTTCTATGAAAGCAGCATGGCTAAAAAGCTGTTTTTGAAGGGAACAGCAAGAGGATCAGTAAGAACAGCTCTTGGTGCAACTGCAAGTCAGTTCTTTTACATTTGTATATGGGAAAAGATTGGTTGTCTTTGCAGTGAAAGCCAGCACACCAGAGGTCCCAGAGGAGTCTGCTTTGTATCCAGCATCTCTATATGACGATGTTTGTAACTGGATCAGCAAGACGTTAAAGTCAAGAGTTTTCAAGTGGGCTATAAACTGTACCAAAGACATGCCTGGGGGCAGGTTCATGGACTACTTTATCTTCTATTAGAATCACAGTAACAAATCTCCTAGAATAAACACTCTTTCTGGCCAAACGGCCATCTGTGCTGTGTTCACCCACCCTTTGGAGATCTCCAAGTACATACAAATATTGTTTCTTCACCAACCCCTCTAATAAAGAAAAAAAAAGAACAACCAAACAAAAAAAGCTCCCTGAAAATAGGACTATGAGCCACCAAACTACATTGGAAGGGTGGCACCAAAAGTCTTTCCAGTGCCACATGCTGAAAGCAAAGCTATATTCCCACAACTGAAGTACACATCCTTATGTCTGTGACAGCAATGCAGCAAGGAAATCCAGCTGCAACAACCAACTGTGGCTAGGAAGCTTACATTTTTCATGGAAACAAATTATAGCACATATCCCTAAGGTGAAGGGATGGAACCTGAGCTGGCATAAATTAAGGTCACCACATAAACTTACAGCAGAATGACATCAGTTTGCACCAACAAAGACCCCAGCCTGAAGGGTTTCTTTTTGGAACGCTTTTCCCTCTTTTTTTGGCACACATTTTCTGACAGCCTATTGTGAAGTTTTGTTGTTTCTTGTTTTTCCTTTTCTAAGCTTTGTGCTCTTGTGTACCAGTACTTCTGGCTCATAAAACGTTTCCTGTACACCCCGTTCATACCAACTGCAGACAATGTATGAATAAAAAGATCAAAATATTCATTGCTGTTGCCAAAAAATAGTGACACCCGCCCCTTCTAAGATCATTTTTATACAGCTACAATTTCTGTTTTTAAACTTACTGAAAGTTACCCACAGGACAGAGGCCCCATTGCTTTAAAGCAGGACAAAGGGCTGACAAAGACACTGAAAATTGTGTGGATCAAGCCAAAATCAGAAGAAAAGGCTAACTCAGTAACATCCCTGCTATTTTAAAAGTCCCAACTCGCTCTTCCTTCCTCTATTTCTTTCATCAGAATTTAACTACGAAATAAAGTTTTGAGTAAAAACTGGAGAGTGTGACCTACAGATTATACTCATTTTTATTTGTAAACATCTTTTTTAAATGTTTTATGAAAGAGTTACCTACCATGTGCAACTAGTCAAACTTACTACAGTTTATGAAGCGCCAAGGCTTAAAAAAGTTGTACTCTATGTTATATACTAGTTAACATCTATAGACCATTTATTACCCATGCCTAAATTCTTAATGCACAGCTGAATGAAATGATAGTTTTACGTCACCTACTGCTCAGCCCCTCTGAAAGTAAAATCCCTGAGCTTTTTATAGAAGACCTAAGAGTGCCAGGCACTTTCTCTTGGTCTCTCTTCTCATGCATTCCTTGAGCATACAACCTATCTTTACACTTCTATTTAATTACTGTTTCTGTCACAAACACATATAGCTCGACTAGAAAACTCCTGAAAGACAGCAATAAGCATCTGGTGTGAGAAGATGACAACACCAAAGAAAGCTCATGTTTACAACGTCTTGTCAGTTGTACCTCATCATTTGCTTCCCAGCTCACACACTTGGCTGGGAGATACTGGGAGCTGACTGAGGACAAAGCCAGGCTGTCCTGAAGCACCACATGCAGCAGGTCCCACCTGTGCTTGGCTCACAGTCGCTCCAAGGGCCTGCCCATGGCAAACCTCTGAACTCTTCCTGGCCCTCTCCCAGGCGAACAGCAATTTTGCTTCAAGAAGAAGGCATGTTGGCATGTTTACAGATCAAGAATGTTCCTGTGGCTAAGCCAGAATACTAGGATTTAAACAACCTGGATTTCTTTCCAAAATCTCCCAGAGGCTTTCGGAATGAACTTTGCTAAAATATTTAGCCTTACTGTGTGATCCCCGCTCCGTGACGTGAGGGCGTTAGGATTGTGCTGCCTCGTAGGGACTTAAAAAGTTTTTTGGAAAACAGAATGTTGACTTTATCCATTGGTTTCTTAATGACAGATCTGGAATTAATTTTTTTCCTCAAAAACTTAAGTTTCTTATGGGTTTACTGAGAGAGTTACCTGAAGTTTTTTATAGGGGGGTTGATAAGAAACCAGGGTGGCCTCTTTGGATGTTTGCAATTAAAAAAGAAACAGAAACAAAATGTCCTTTTTTTAACCAGGTCTGTGGAAGCCAGATCAGCAAATAATATACACTGCAACTATGAAGATAAATCTCAGATTCCATCATGTAAAGGCAGATATAAATTATCTAGAAAACTATTCTGTGTGCTGGGAGAGGTTTTTTTAATTATTATTCTTTCAAGTTGCGCACTATAAAATTGGAAACAGCATCTAGAATCCATAATCTTATATGGGTTTAGATGATGTCTCTCCTAATTAAAATGTGCTGCTTGGAAAAAACCAATGCTGTAAACTAAGCATGCAGAATCTCCAAAGTGATGGACGTTTTCTCACCAGGTAAGATACTTTCAGAGCTTCCACTGCTGCATTTTGATGCAGCTATTTCAATGAGTATGACATCTTGGCCAACTTTTCTTCCTGTACTTTCGGAATGTGAAATTAACAGAGTAGCACAGCACTGTGTTGATGAGGCAGGCAGTGGTTTTGACAAAACATTTTAGAAGTATCCCTTTGTGGTTTTGGACCTCAGGCCAAATTTCTTGAAATGCATCTGTCTGCAGTTGATAGAAACTTTGTACTTCTGAAATAGTAGCTTTATTTATGCCTCAGTTTCATCTGAGATACACCAGTATGAAAGTATTCCAAGGGACAGCAACACAGAGTACTTCTCTTTGCTATGTACCATTACAGCACTCTTAAAATGAGCTGCTAGTACAACTAAGACTGTAAAACAAAGAAACCGCCCTACTTGCTTTTTAGCTTTTGGGAAACATTTGAAAAGCACAGGGTCTTAACCAATCTTCAACACTTTGGTTAATTAATGAAGTGTTGGCAAAGCACCAGAAAATTATCAGTCTGCCAGCAGATGTGCACTCACACTGGATGCAAGCCTGCCATTAGTAAAGCTGTTTCAAAGCTGCACTGAGATAATGCAGTTCTGGAAATGCATAAATGGGCCATTTCGATCCTGAAACCACCTCTAAAGGCAATTAAAACATTGACTAAGATACTTGGCACTGTTTCATTTTTATGACCTACAGTCACTGGCCAGGCCCTATAGTCATTGTTGATTCCCCAGACTCAGGCATAATCCACAATCAGTATTTTCTGTGTGTACAATACTATATATTAAATTTAGTCCAAGTTGTACTGGTTGTACTCGAGTTTTCATTTCCTGCAGTGGTTGCATCTAATCATATTAATCCTTTGACATTCTAAAGGATAAACACATCTCCAAAGAAAATTAATTAAAATGCTTGTTTCTGAAACAGTAATCTGAAGATTCTTCTTTCATTTTCAGAACATGCTCTTAAAAGCAGCAAGTCCTTGCAATATGCATACTATATATATTCCAATTCTTTACACAACAATCCCCAATATCTGCAGTGAACTTCTGCTCTGAAGTGCCAGTGCTTTGCTCCTCCTGAAGCCTAGGGAAGTTCCGTGTCCACATCTGAAAGCAGAATCTTGGGTCCTTCAAATTTTAATTCTTCTGCTAAGCTTTTTCTTTTTGCCAAGAACCATACACCCCCCTATCAGTGTTACGTAAAAGCAAAGCAATCTACTTTTGTCTAGCTGAAAACACACTGAAAGATCTC